TTCATTAATTTTTCAGCCAGCTGGTATGAGCTCTTCCCTTTTGCTTTTATATAACCTCAAACAATATTTTTATTTTATTTTTTGGTAATAAGATATATAGTGGGAAATAAGTCAAGCACCGAAATACTATTTCTATCAAGGGTAGCTAAAATGAATGCAGATTACGTATGACAAATCAAATGTGTGGTTATAACAAGCAACAGTGACGTTTTCTTCAGCCTCTCATGCCAACTGTTGGACATGGATGATTTCTTATTGATGAAAAAAGCTTCAGAATTTGATATTTGGTTTTTAGAAGGACCAGTTTTCATGTATTAGTTTATTTGTCAACTACTTTTTGTAGCGTATCATCTCGCAATCATGCTGCTCTGGCTTAGCTGTTTTTAGACATAACATGTAAAGAGCTTTTTGCTCATCGTTGGAAGCACGTTTTGTTGCTTCTTTCTAGGTCTGCAAATTATGCAGCAAAATCTTAATTCCTTGTTTGCCTCATATGGGAATGTGCTGCTCACCTAGAGACCACTTTTGGGGTGGGAATTAGAAACGAAGATCCTCCAGATGCTTTCTATATTCAAAACATGGATTGCATACAACATTTTTTTAAACATTTTCTACCATTTTCTGATTGGTTGACACTAATTTGATCTATAGACAACTAATTGAAAAATGATTAAAGTCAATACTGATTGGTTGACACCTCAATAAATTAAAACAGAGCAGAAACAGAGAGAACCCCACAGCAATACGTTTATTGAAACAGAGTATAAACAGAGAGAAGAAGCCCAAGTCATGTTATAATGGCCCCAAATGATCACAGCCCTTCAGTATAAGCAACCCCTGTAGACTTTAACCATGACCCTCCTTGGATGAGCTGAGCAACAGTGAAAGGTTGGGCCTCTGTTGGGCTTGTGATGACATGGTACCCAGCCCATTTGACTCTCTTGCTGGTCCCAGCACCAGCTCCACTATTTGCATATTCTCCATAGTACAATGTCTTCAATGCAAAATCCCCGCTCCAAATAGACCACCCAGTTGGGTCAATGTGGTCACCAATCTTGGACTGCATCACAACAGTCCTAGAATACTCCTTCCATGGCCGACCTAGGTAGGACCTGATCGTCCCTTTAACAGGCTCCAAGTCCGAACTTGCGATTATGTCACATTTTTGAATAGAAGTTCCAGTGTTTTGATTCGGGTCTATGCGTCCTTGGGCAGTGACCATGTTATTTTGTCCAGTCATGGGCTTTCTGGCCACAAGTTTGCAGTTCTGAAACACAACAGCTGCGTTTCCAAATATGAAGTCCACTGTGCCTGTTATGTAGGAATCTCTGTAGAATTGCCTGTTGGAATGGGTATAGAGAGTGTCTTGGTAAGCATCGATACGACACCGGTTTATCACTGACTGGTCTGCCCCAACACGCAGTGCAACAGCTTGGTGCTTTACTGCCCCGGCTGTGTTTTGGAACCACATGTCCTGGGCTATAAACCCATCACCAACAGCAGCTGCATTGGCACAACAAATTCAATGGAAACCCACAAATTATTTTTTATGCTAGAATAAAAATAAAAATAATTAATATCTTTTTTTAGTACAAGCGATAGTTTAGACTACTTTAAATTAAGATTGTTAATTACCTAGAGTTGCAGATTTGAAAGTGGTTGATCCATCAACAACATTGAGGCTGCCAGTGATGACAGTGTTATCCATGCCATCTCCAACAATCATCAAATTCTTCTTGTTCTTTCCAACTTCAACATTTTCCTTATAGGTGCCTTTTTTCACATGAATAATGTACCTGGTTTTGCTATTGTTTGGGGCAGCAGCAACTGCTTCTTTCAGAGTCTTGTAGTTTCCACTCCCATCCTTTGCCACCACAATATTGGCCTTAACTTCCTTTGCCAAATTATAATCCTGCAAAAGCCTTCTGTCCCTGCTTGTGACCCAACTTGGAAACTCCCCATTCAGTGGCTCATGGATCTCTGCTTTCAGTTTCGATGGGTTCGAAATTGCAACCATGATGGCTAGGGAGGCTCTTGACCTTGAGATCAAGTCACTGAGCCTTGGCTCCATAATGGTCCTGGCTGGTCCTTGTAGACCATCCAAGCATGTGACATGGTTAGTGAGTATGCTACTAAGCCAAGCATGAGCATCTTCAAGAGAATTCTGCAGAGTAAAATTTTGGAGAGCTATTATAGAGTGCATAACTCTGTCTATGGATACATCCATTAGCTCCACACAATCAGCAATAGCTGCTTGATCTTTGGGATTGTTAATCCTAGAAGAAGCATCTTTGGCAATCTCAAGGGCTTTTTCTATGTGTGGTGTGGATTTTTCTAGGAGGGCTTGTAGCAGATCAACATCACTCACTGGCTTGGTTTTGTCCCCTGCTACTTCAGTGACCACGGCTAAGCATGATTTCTGATCATGGGCTTGGTCACATATGTTAGTTGGTGGAGGATAAGAAGATGATGAAGTTATTTTGGTCATCACTTGGATGCCAACAAGTGTAGTGGAGCTTAGAATAGCAGCTAAGCATAGAATGAGATAGAGGGGTTTGCAGTGAAAAGTAGAAGTTTTGGGAGATTCAAGGAGAGGCTCTTGTTGGATTGCCATATTCTAGTAGCTAAGTAAAGATCTCTCTCTTGCTGCTTGCTTTAGTTTCTCTTGTCCTATAGTTCTTAAATAGACCAGAACTTGTACTAGAATAATAAATTAAGCAATGGTGATAATGTATTTTAAAGTGAAGAAGCAGCATCATGATTCTGATAAACCTCATATTTATTAATTACCTAATAGTCATTAGCATCTTAATTTCGATTTTTGTAACCTAGCATGTGCCGTTAGGTCAAAAGAACCATGGCTTTCATCAAAAAAAAAAGAACCATGGCTTACATTAAACGTGTATGAACAATGATGCTTTGTGGGGCTCACAATGATCAATATGGATGAGTTAAAATTGTGCACCACCTGTGACTAATTGTAGCAAAATCATTCCATCCAATGTGAAATTGACTCCAATTTAGAATTGTACAGTGACTGACGGCTAGATTGAAGAGGTTGTAGTGAAACCAAGGATTGAAATATCAGCCTATATGTCAGTATTTTCAACTGTCGACATTGATACTGGGAGGTAAGGTCATATCTTCCCTTATATCGACGATATATCCCCGATAAGTGCGATATCCCAGATATTTTGTCAATATCCCCGATATTTTCTGATACCCATAACAAAATCCAAAAAACAAATATGAAGTTTTGAAGGCAATTGAAGCAAATTGAAACCCAAAAATAGCTAATCTTTGCCTAGAACCCTATAAAGTATTAATATGAAGAATTTATGCACAATCTACTGCCCACTTACCTCCAATCCATCTGAAGAGGACATAGCGATCAATTTTGGATTTATGAGCATAGGAACTAGACCTAGTACTAACTCAAATGAATCTTATGATGGCTATGGTTATATCATGTTTGATTATAGTGGAACTAGTTATGAAGCTCAAGATGATGAAACAGATTATGGATCTACTAGTTGGGTTAATCCTAACTATCCCATATATGGGAGGACAGTAGGGAGCTCAAGAAAGACTTATGTGCACCATGTTCAAACATGGCTTATAAACTGCTCGGGTTATATGACTTGGTATGACTATTGTATGAATCTAGATGGTTGTTCCTCATTGTTTGAACCTCATAAGAGCTCTTCATTTATGTAGATGGACACTAATCTAAATTGTAATCCAATGTTTAAACAAACTATGGAATCATGCATGGTTTATTCATTCTAATCAACATTTATTTTCAAACTTTTCATTAACGCGCATTACATACTACTTATATTTCATCATATGTATATCTTATTATTAGTAAATTTTGAGTTTTATTTGTTCAATATATTCATTGATAATGTACATAATATCTATAAAAGTTTTACACCAAAATTATGTGTTTCAATGCATATATATGTCATTTTTGTTGATTTTTTCCCAATACCTAAAACAATAACGATAAATCCCCGAAATATCCGAAAAGTGGAGGCCCGATATTATCGACACGGCTGATATTTTAATTCTTGAGTGAAACTCGTTTTTGTTTTACAAGTTGACTATGTTTGGATAAGGGTTTGGGTTGGAAAGTATGGTCATGATTCATGGGTGTTGTTTTTAGGTCATAATTATGGTGAGGAAATCTTTGCCTTTGAGACTTTAGAGGATATTCTACCTTAATTAACAGTCTTTTCTCATGGGTGTTGATGAAAAGAAGAAAGTGATGCTCTCTTTTTTTGTGGTCAAAAGTGATGCTCATCATTTGTAGAAAAAGCAATAAACCAAACCAGTGCGCATTCTTTTTTCAAAGAAATAATGAAACAGTGGGATTGCATTCTTTAATCTTCAACACTAGTGGGAGGGGAGTCCCACAAGTCATTCTATAGTGAGGGGCACTTAGGTGATGTCTTATCTTTTAATCGTAGAATCTGGGCACTTAGGTGATGTCTTATCTTTTAATCGTAGAATCTGACTAATCAATTTGATCCTACGATTAAGAAATAGAACCTCAAGTCATAAATAATGCCCCCACTATAAAATTCTTGGAGTGCAGAAATAATGCCCACGCTACAGAATTCTTGGAGTCCCCACTCGGGGCTTTCAAAACGCATATGATTAAACCAAATTGAACACAAGAAAACAAAACCATTCACCCAAAGATTGGCCCAAATTTCATTTCTTGGGCCGTTACATTTATCGTTGAAATGGGCCCAAGAACCAAAATCAAACCACATTGAATATAAATCAAATGGAGCCTAGCAGCTTGGACTTGGTCTATTTGATTCCCGTCCATTAGATGTATAGATAAATGCTAAGCTCGGTATTTTTTAAATTTTCTTCTTGGGTTTGTGGTTTAATAATTAAGGTCATTGGATTTAAATTCAATTTAATAGTTAGGTTAAAAAGCTGATAAGGAATCTGAAAAACCATATGACGATTTAAGGCATGGAAAATTAACAAGAGAGAAACATATTTATTATTCCTTCAAGAGTCAGAGTCACGAGTAGAACAATATTTAAGCGATAATTTGGGAAGCCCAGAGCTTGAGTAATAATTTAGAAATTAACCATAATTGAGACGAAATATGTCATTCTGCAAAAAGAAGCTTCCTTGTGGCGTGGGAATCAAGTGGAACATCTGCAACACAAGAGCATTTCAAAGTGATCAATCCCCCTTTCTTATTTTTCTTTCCATGTAATTGCAAACAAACTAAATAATGTGAATGTTTCCATTAAATAATTACCTGGCTGAATCTTAGGTGGTGTTCTTCCCCTGGTAATTGGAGGCTGCCACTGACAAAGACCACAATGCCACCAGCTGGGGATGATGGCTGTGAATCAATGGTGCTGATCAAATGTTTGCATTGATCAAACGGCAACTGGTTAAGCTTTGAAGTTATATCATCCACCCCAAATATCTTCTGTCCTTCAAAGCTCAACATAGAGGTTGGTTGGTAGAGAGAAGAGAGGGAAGCTCTTTCGGTGTCGAAAAGATGGTAATAATGATCCACAAATGCCCTCCCCACCATTTCAGCTTGTTCTTCCATTTCTGCTTTCCTCTGTTAGATCTCTCTCTCTCTCTCTCTCTCACACACACACACACACACACTCCAATTCTGGCCACGAATATAAGGAAGCTGGTTTGCCAAAAGGTGCCTAACATGTGCACTAAGACACATCAAAGAAAAAGATGACACAAGATTTGTTTGCTTAATTAGCACTAGATGGGCCATCATGCCCCTGAGCATTTTTGCCTCCAGAAAGGGATGCTCATAAAAAATTAAGGGATACAAGGGTAATTGGGCAATCCAAATGGGGGAATCAAAGACTGCTGCAATTTTACGGTTTGTGGGTTCTTTTTTGTAGTGCCGAAAGTATATGGAATATATACTTTCCTCAGCGACCACCCTTTCCAACAGGGGAAAGCTTTACCATCTCTGCATTCTCATTCAAGAAATATAACCCAAGAATGTATTTGCCCAATAAATTACAACTACACCGATTATGGATCTGCCTGCATCATTCAACTTGTCGCATATAATTATCATGTTACATTTCCTTTTACAAGGGACGTCACATGGGAAGTTGGGAGTGTAATATTTGATGTCACATGGTCAATACATACACTACAGAAACAAATATGCATGGATATTTTGACTCACCAATGCACACATTCAACCCTGCATCCTCAGCAGGGCAGTGTCAAGGTTAAAGATGCACAAAAGGTTGCTGAGGTTTCGAATGTGCGTGACTCAATCTACAAGCCTGTGAAATTGATTGAGAGACTAATATGACCAGATTATGAATGTTGGCATATTACAGAGAACATTTTGCCTTCTGCCTACACCACAACATGCTTGGCTAAACATGTTGGCATATTACAGAGAACTTTACTAGACAATACCTGGGTAAGCAGGGGTCCTTCAACTTAACCTACAGAACCTAGTCAGAAGCCACCGGGCATCCCTTCCTGGCTTCAGATTCTAAGCACTCAAGCCAAGAGCTTCTCTCTTCACATTGTCTTTCATACAAGAGCTGAAAGCATCTCTTCACTAGTGCCCTTGGCATTTAACAAACCTGTCCTTCAGCTTGAGTAAAGATTTTATCCTACCATAAACTCTATACCGGCAATTACCACTGATTGCAATACGAATACCGGTATTTCCATTTGCTATCGTTAATCTTGATGGCTAGTCATAGTCAGCCAGTGGATAGGGTTGGTATTCATGCGCATCAAAATGTGAATACCCACCATATACTGAACAATAAGTTTTAAATCAACCAGTATGAGTAAACAGACGCTTGACAAAATGAATACATAACATCTTCATCCATGAACCAAAATGTCACTTCACATGTAGACCAAGTAGCAGAAAGACTAAGGCATCAGCTACTTGCAAACCCTGTATCTATTCTTAAGCACGAAATCATCTGATGCCCACAGTAAAGACTAACAACTGAGAAATATCACAATAAGGATGTATTGTCAACGAGCACAGCCAGCAGCACCATTCATTAAGTTTTTGCATACATTGTCTAACAACATAAATTTTTCTCTTTATGACATATGATGGCACTGATTGTTTCCCACAAATCCTCAAGCATAACTGACTTTTCAAACATCTTGGCAAACACAGGTCATGCGGTTGACATTTCAGTACATAGTTACATGCAAAAACTTATACACCAAAATAAAATTGCATACAACTAGTTAAGTTATAACCAGGGGTAGAAAGACCTGGATGACAGTGTTCATAAGGAGAGGAAATTGCAGCTTGCAATGGTCTCCAGAAGTAGCAACAAGCATACTCGTAACTCGTCTAACACAGAAACAAGTTATTGACTAAAATACTAGCTTTAACAAGGAAGGCATACAGCTTGGTTGCAATGAGGAATTAATATAACACAAATAACTTGGTGCGCCCACGAAAGCTCCAAACCAGATATAACCAACATCATAAACACAAAGCATGTAATCATGATAGAAATTTTGTAACACATAGTTCTCAATTTTCAAACATAATATAAGCCAACTGTCAAAAAGTACACATCTTTCTCAGGAGAAATTCATTATCAAAGTTTTCACTGACACAGATCTATCACCTTTATAGAAGCTCAAGTGGTGAATTGGCATCCTCATCCTAACCAAGCTCAGTTCCAACTCGAAGGCCAAAAAGCATGCACTCCATAACCAGTCTTCCAATTATCCAAGTAGACCACCTTCTTCACCGCCCAAAACGAAACAAGGAGCGCGATAATCATAACAATACGCTGCACCTTGACATTGCGGACGGTAACAAGCACGCGGGTGAGGAATGCCAACAACAACCCAACAATGGTGTACAAGAACCCAACTGTGAAGCCTTCTGTTCCAAGCTGCATTCCGGAGCCCTGGTAGAAAAATATGAGCTTTGAAGGGTCATTTCTATCAACCAAGAACATGGGCATTTTTCTAATGATGTTATGCATAGCGCCCGAGACGCTAAAGAAGTAAATGAAGACAGCCCCAGATAACCAAATTCTTGGGTCGTGCAGCAAAGTCTTGCCACTGATGATCTTCTTCCCAATAAAGGGTAACCAAATCAACCACGCGATGGTAGCGAACATAATTTGCTTCTTGGATAGCATCGGAGGGCGCTGAATCGGACCCACGACAAGTTTGGTCTTGGACTCGATGAACTCGGACATTGACTCAGCCAATCTCGAGAAATCGCCCTGGTCCATTTGCTGGGACTCTTTGAGGCTGTGGTTGGGTCCGATGAGGCGAATGTGAGGCAGCGAGTTGACTCCGAATTGGGCAAAGCTGGGCTGCGAGTCTTGAAACTCGATGTCGCCGAAGAACAACTTGGCGTGGGAAGAAGACGATGGGTCTTCATTGTTCTCGATGAAAGACGAAGCCACGAGAGAGAACTCGCTGCGGAGCTCCTTGAGATGGAGCTCTTGCTTGTCGTGGAGCTTTGCGGCGTCGAAGAAGATGAGAACCCAGTAGGGCCTTGGGGTTTTGACGGAGGTCAGAAATCGAGAGAGTGAGTGATCGTCGAGGCGGATCACGCCAGATTTAGATCGGGCTTGGAGGGAAAGGAGTTCGGCGACCTGGTCCGAGTTGGATTCGGATAACCCAATGAATGTGGTGAGAAAGAGGAGGGTGGTGATGAGGAAGACAAGGGGCAGTTTCGGAATTGGGCCCATTTTTGTGGGTTTTCACTTGTTACAGAGAGCAAAGGGTTTTGCTTTGTGGGAAGAGGAAGAAGAAGCCTCAAGGGCAAAGAGTTGATTTTGAGTCTTGAGTGTTGACCTTTTCATGTGGAGGACGAAAAGTCAATTGGACGTTAGAATGTACGACATGTCGTTTTTTCCAATTGTATTTGTACATCTTTTTTTGGGACTGATTTTTCCACTCCTTTTTTATCCACTTGTGTGAAAATCATTTACCTTTTTTTAGTTGGCTCGAGCCACATTGATAGAACGAATTGGTAATTGCCACAGAGATTGCAAGATTCTCTTTTTAATGTCCAAAATTGAGAATACAAAAACAAAACTCACTTCGCTTCATCACCCTCATTTCTAGTTTCTAAGTTTGATAAGGTTAATTGGAACCCAGATATCAAACGCTTATAAGTTGCTGCATCAGGTTTCAGCCTCATCTTCAACATTTCATCATGAATTTTCATTGCCTTTCTCAACTCCTTCACACCACAGAGCCCATGGATCATGATTGTGAAGCTTGCACTGCTCATCAAGTTGTGTCTTCTCATGTAATCAAACACTCTGATTGCTTCTTCAATCCTCCTTGCTGCAAACAGCCCACTGAGAAGTACATTGTAGGTTGTTACATCCAAGCTGCCATTCAATTTTTCCATCTTATTATGCAATGCAATAGCTGAATCAATCTGTCTTCTAGAGCAGTATCGCCCCACTAATGGGGAACAGCAAATCAAATCCGGTAGAAGCCCCTTGTCTAGAACAACATTCAACAGATACTCTGCTTCTCTCCATCTACCCCTATGACACAGAAATGATATAAAACCGGACAGCTCCGATGCAGAAGGACTACACCCTCTACTTATAACATCCATTAACAACTCAAACCCTTGCTCAGACCGCTCTTCCTTGCAAAGAACATCTGCAAATGCATGATAACTACTGCCATCCACTACAATACCCCTTTCAGAAATCAGACGATAAACCGAAATTGCTTCTTTTGTTCTCACTTCATTAGTCAATGCCTTCAACACAAGCCCATAGGTACCATCTTGGAGTCCAATTTTTTCATCACATGCTTTCTTAAAGAACATTTCCGCGGCATGTATTTTGCCCAAGTCACAAAGCTTCTCAACTATTGAATCATACTCAGATAAAGGGCAATTGGGAAGCAATTTCTTCTCTACCATAACACTTGTTACCCTTTCAACGACTTCCACATTCCCAAGTTTACATGCTCCATCAAGAATAGAGCTATAAGTACTAAAATCAGGGTCCACTTTTCTATCACACATCTCGTTTAAGTGGGAAAATGCAGCATCAAAGTTGCCACTTTTGCTATAACCATCAACAAGAAGATTATACATCATAGAATTATAAATGTTCAAATCCAAAAGTCTAAGAATTCTTTCAAATTTCCCATCTTTACAAAGAATTTGAGCAACCAGTGACCATGTAAATCGATCTGGTAAAACCCCATTCCGGATCATAAGGCCATAGAAACACCACGCCAATCTAATCTCATCTTCTCGCTGTATAGCATTAAGCAGAGCATTGCAGGCAACAACTGAAGGAACACAACCAAGAACATTCATTTTCCTAAATACTTCTAAGCCTTCTCTAAACAAACCCTTTCTTGAATAGCATCCAAGAACAAAACTTAACGTAGTGGATTGAGAATCTGTACCTTTACATGCTAGAGTAATGCACTGTACAAGCTCTGATACAGGATGAGTTTGAATTAGAGAATCCAAGATGGGTTTCACGGGTCGAACAAGGCCCGACCCAAGTGAGACTCGGATGATTTGGCAGTTGGATTTGAGGTCCGGTTCAAACCTCAAATTTACTTTGGCCCAATTGAAGAACTCCAAAGAGACTTGTGGGTTGTTCTGGGTTTTATGGAGGATTTGGAGAAAGAGAGCAGGCGTCAGTTTGGGGAAGAGACTGAGGTTTCGGAGGAGTGGTACCCAGTTGCGTCTTTGTAAGAGAGCGTAGGAGATTTGGGAAGCTAGCTGAGCTTGTTTGATATTGGTTCTCCAACTCAGAGATGAAGCTGTTGAATACGCTCTGCGAAATTGGTGAGCTTTGTGAAGAAGCATTTGGTGCTGAAGTGGTTTTCCTCTGTTTCAACATTTTCCGGCAAAGAGGTATGAATTTGAGATTGTTTCAAATTGGTTTTTGCTCGAGGGTAGACGAACAAGTCGAGTTTTGGGCTTCTGGCTCTAACGGCAGGAGACTGTTGGGTTGGGTTGGGTTCGCTTCAGTGGAAAGGTAAAACCATGAATTTTACTGTAAAACCATTATAAAAAAATATAAAAAAAGGAGGACCTGGTACGTGTCAAAAATGGTATAGCCGCGCGGCTATACTATTTATAATTAAAAATATAGCCCTCCTAGCCCTAGCCACGTGTCAAAAATAGTATAGCCGCGCGGCTTTACTATTGATAATTACAAAATAAAACTCCTAGGCACGTGTCAAAAATAGTATAGCCGAGCGGCTATACGCATTTTTAAAATAAAACTGTAGTATAGCCGTTCGGCTATACCATTCATAATTGAAAAAATAACAAAAGGCCCGCTTATTAAAACAGACTGTAGTATAGCCGCGCGGCTATACGATTTATAATTTTTAAAAATTAAAAAAAGGAGGCCCTCCTATTAGCCGACACGTTTCAAAAAGTACCGCGGCGCAGCTATACGCGTTTTTAAAAAAATAATAGTATAGCCGACTATACTATTTAACCTGTAGAACCATAGTATTTCCAGTGAAAAAACTCACCAGGTTTCTTTGCAGACTTCCCAGTTTCGCTTTAACCTGTAGAACCATTGGCTGGCTCCTGTTTTTGTTGCCGCATATTTGCTTCTTGGGGCCTATTGTAATAAATATATTTGTTCCTGGGGTTGCTTTTGCAGACTTGTTAGTTCTTTTTCGTTCTCACCAATTTTTGCTTACCAGAAAGAAAAAAAAAACCCAAACTTTTGTCTCCAATGTCAATGTAAAAGTCAGATATCTAACCAAGGTGGTTAGTGTGAGTGGTTCGGCATTCTCATTCCTTAAGAGAGGTTAGGGGTTCGATCCCTGCTCTCGTATGGAGTCAACACTTTGGCCAGCACTTTACCCCTTACAGGCCGACCCGATGTGAGCGGGTATTAGTCTGGGTTGTGGTTAAGGCTTAAAGGTACCAACCATAGTTGAGGTCCATCCAGGACCACCTCGTGGTTCGGACCAAAAAAAGAAGAAGTCAGATATCCAAAAATACCCAGTAAAAGAGAAAGGAGTGTTCTGAGGAAATGGAGAAAAGTGATGTTGCTGCTGACCCACATGCATATTCCTACGCTGGTCCATAGGAGACCCAGTAAGACACTGGGAAAAAGGTATTTTCTATTTTCCTACCATTCAAATTTAGCAGATCAATCCAAAAATAAGACGGCATTGCTTTGCTGATAAACAAATGAACAGCTTGGCTTATTGCTAGCCCTTGATATCACCATCAATCCATTAATAATCTCCTCAATTATTCAATTGGTGGGTTCCTCATCACCACATGATCTGGCTGCATCTCAGTTGCCTGGCATATGGATGCAGCTCAATGTTTCAAGTTTTTACTCAAAAATCTAATGTTAATTATTATAAAGCTTCTTGCTTGGCTGCCCACATGACTCATGAGAGGGAGATGGGTACATTGTTTTATTCCTGGTTTATTGTTGTTTTTAATTTTCCATGTCTTTTTCTAGGATATCTTCCTTCTTTATTGGTTATGGTGTTTAGCATGTTGGTCATGTTTTATTTCCAAGAAAAAGCAACCACTGTTTTGGGGGCATACTTCACTACTTTCAGTAAATAAATATCCTTGTTTAATTGTGCTTGACTGTGAATTATTTGCCACACAAAACAAAAGGAAGCCTGCAGCAGAAAAAGAAGGCCAAATTTGTAGACTCTGGAGAAATCTCAGGCTTTACAAGGTACTTTTTCTTTGTTTGATTGACCAAAGCAAGTTTAAGTTCACTTTAACCTTGTTTAATCCTTTATGCTCACTCTTAATTAGAGACACAATACTAAATAATTTGCTGCATTTCTCGACAACCAAATCCAGTTGTCTAGATCCAGGAACTTCCGATTATTGTAATACCAATCACACTCTATCACGTTCCCACAGGCAACACATGGACCCCACCCCACCTCTGTTTTCTGCCAATTGTCAAAGACCATTGGAGGGCAGCCTGGCTTCTTCAGTCCTAATTCTGAGCTTCTTCATTTTAGTCATTTTCATCTAAACATACATTTCACTGATGGATTTTTTCCCCCAATGACCCTTTCTTTAAAAGTTACAAGTCACAAGCAGGACTGTGCAGAAGTGATATAAATAATAACCAAATAAATTAACCAGACAAGGAAATGTGACTTGTTTCCAGTCTTAGCCTTTCCCAAGACATTTTCATATTCTGATCATTTAATGCACACCACCTCCTCCTCCTGGAGATCCAGCTGAAACAAGCTCCCATCCATTCTCACTTTCTTCAGATTCTCTGCCTCCAAAAGTCTTCCACCCAAAATGGAAAGAATGGCATCTCTGATGCCTATTCTTCTTTACATTGCAGTACTCATTGCTGCTTGCTCTTCTTCTTCATCTGAAGCGGCTGCCCCAGCCACTTCTTTCGAAGACAATTTCGACATAATGTGGTCTGAGAACCATTTTAAAACCTCTGCAGATGGGGAGATCTGGTATCTTTCCCTGGACAAAGAAACAGGTAAACATGAACAAGATTGATTTCTGTTCAATACTTATGTGTCAATCTTACTTGAGAATTTGCATCAGTTTCAATACTACTTGAAACTTTGCTAGCAATCACATAACTTTCTTTTCTTGGTTTCTTTGTAATTGAATAGGTTGCGGGTTTCAGACAAAACAGAAGTACAGGTTTGGATGGTTCAGCATGAAGCTCAAGTTGGTTGGAGGTGACTCTGCTGGTGTAGTGACAGCTTATTATGTAAGTCTTCAAGCTTTCATGAAAGCCAATCACAATCCCATGTCTGTCTTTGTAGTTTCTCTTTTGTACTAAATTACATGTCTATAGATTGAAAACGTACTTCTTGTCGCAGATGTGCACAGAAAATGGAGCAGGGCCAGAGAGGGATGAGTTAGATTTTGAGTTCTTGGGAAATAGGAGCGGGCAACCTTATCTCATTCAGACAAATGTTTACAAGAATGGAACTGGAGGCCGTGAGATGAGGCACATGCTTTGGTTCGACCCCACCGCGGACTTTCACACCTATTCAATTCTTTGGAACAATCATCAGATTGTGTAAGTTTAGTATATATCTTCCCTTTGGCTCTTGGTGTATGACCTGAGTTACCAAGTCTCTCTTTTATATCTATCTTCCTTTCATTTTATATCTGCTGACACATACTGATTGATCCCTCATGCTAAAGAGATGTCATTTGCTACATTGTCACATGCTTCTGGTTATATGAGACAGCAAAGTATGGCATACGGCCGAATCGTTAGATCAGCAAAACAATTGGTGATCTTATGGATAACCGTATGCCATACTTAATTGTACAACACAATTTCCCAAATTATATTATGTAACTGTTATGTTTCCTATTTAGAACATTGCTCTTAGCATGAACAATACTGAAAACTTACCAATCTTGCACTTTGGTTTTTGTTGCATACAGGTTTTTTGTGGACAAAGTTCCCATAAGGGTGTTCAAGAACAATGGGGAAGCAAACAACTTCTTCCCCAATGAGAAGCCAATGTACTTGTTCTCCAGCATATGGAATGCAGATGAGTGGGCAACCAGAGGTGGGCTTGAGAAGACAGACTGGAAGAAAGCCCCATTTGTGTCCTCTTACAGAGACTTCAATGTTGATGGGTGCCAATGGGAAGACCCTTACCCTGCATGCGTCTCCACCACAACAAAGAATTGGTGGGACCAATATGATGCTTGGCACCTCTCTGATGCTCAGAAAATGGACTATGCTTGGATACAGAGAAATCTTGTTATTTATGATTATTGCAAGGATTCTGAACGCTACCCAACTTTGCCAGTGGAGTGCCCATTGAGTCCATGGGAATGAAAAATAGTAATGTAAAGTTTTCTAATTTCAATTTGGGAACACACCAAGGTGTGTTTTTGTAGGTCATCATTGTCTTAGGCTATTGGGTTTCTATTAAATTTATTAAATCAATTTTGTTCAATAAAAGGTTTAATTTCATGTATTTCATTCCTTTCCCAAACACTATATAATATAATAAACAAAATCTCGAATCTTTACATTTTAAAATTGTGAATATATTCAAATTTTACAACATCTAGACCATTTAAGTAATCTAACCATTAAGCACGTGAGTAAACTTTGAAAAAATATTTACAATTTATCCTCTTTCATTCTTTATGAAACCCTCTCTCCTTCTTTAATTCAAAACAAAAATCCCCAATTTTTTTAGGATGAAAAACAAAATAATAATCAACTAATAACTGGTAATATACCATATAAGCGTCTTTTTTATAAAAATATTTTCTATTGAAAGGAGCGATAACATAATAAACTCACACACAACACGAATGCTATGACTCAAACCAAGATCTTTCCTATTAGCTTTTAAATAATCTTTTAATGTCATAAGCTTTTAAACGTCGAGATCAGCGAAAGTTTCTATTAGATGAGCCAGCTCAAATCCAACGGTTTGAAATGGCTTTTTTAGTCGGTGGATGGTATTAGTCAATTAATAAATTCACGAGGTGTCAAATAAAACACCAAAACGGTAAGTTGAAACGCGAGACCAACGAACAGAAGACTCCCAATCCAAACCCAAAGGTACAATTAGGGTTTTTCTTTTCCAGAGTGAAATCGCAATTCATAGAACAAGAACAAAGAATGGTGTGCGAGAAGTGTAAGTTTCTTCGAATTCATTATCAACTTTCTGCAAAATTCTTTTCTTTTCTTAAAAATAGGCGAAAAATAGAGATTGGACGCAGTTTCTGAACTCTGATTGATACTTTTTGCCTAAAAGAATTCCGATTGATAATATTTTTGATAATTTGTTGAATTTCTTTAATTGAATTTGTTAAATACATAGGTGAGAAGAAGCTTTCGAAGGTGATAGTGCCAGACAAGTGGAAGGAAGGTGCCAGTAACACCACCGAGGGCGGTGGCCGTAAAATCAACGAGAACAAGCTCCTCTCCAAGAAGAAAAGGTTCGCTTTTTCTTTAATTTATAATTTTATGTTTTTGTATATGTCTATTCTGTGAGGTTTTTACTTGATTTTAGCATTTAAAGAAGAATTTTTGGTCGATTTCAGCACACCTTTTTTTATCAAATTTCTATGTGGACTTTTGCTTGTGTTACTTCTTGTCATACGGTCATGAATTTTTTTATTTCTTTACCAACTTATAGGAGTATACTGCGATCAAACTTTAGATTAGGTAATATAGAGAAGGGAATTAGACTTAAAGAAATTTTCTATTTACTTGACCTGATAAAGAATAAACAGAGGTTTTTCGTCGTGGTTTTTGAAATTGAGGTATTGCAATAGATGAGTTGTGTGGGTCATTGCAGAGACCAGAGACATAGAACATATGTACAGCTTCTAAATCATATAGTTGCAATGAGTTGTTATGTCAGTTGATGATTCATGTGTACAATACCATTGCCATTTATTGAGTTGTTTGTGATGCAGATTGTTTGTGTGATGTATCACATGTGATCACATCTCGCACGTAAGTCGTTAACTTCAATCTCATTTGTTTTGCTTGTAGGTGGACTCCTTATGGAACTACCAAGTGCATGATTTGCAAGCAGCAAGTACACCAGGATGGCAAATACTGTCACACCTGTGCTTACTCCAAAGGTATTATTTCTAATTGTTCATCTAGCTGGTTTGTTATCTTTGGTTATTGCTGGAAATCTAATGTATGTGATGTTATGCAGGAGTTTGCGCAATGTGCGGTAAGCAAGTACTCGACACCAAGTTCTACAAGCAAAGCAATGTATAATGCAAGTCAGATGTTGTTGGTTGGCATTGTCTATTTGGTGTGCTGACTCATAGCTAAACTGTTGATTCATATATTTGGTCCCTCATCCCTGGACCCCTGGTCGTCAAGCCAGAGCATACCATATTTGTAATTCAGGCTGTGAATGTTAACCTTTTAGTTATAACATGTACTTTGTTTAGTTTTATTCTTTGATCATTGAAATTTACTCAAAGAAGCTAAGCTAAATGATTACCTCTGAGCTTTTGAATGCAAGTTATTTATTCTGAACATGCTTTTTCTTTCAGTTTTTGGATACTAAGATTTTCTTGGATATTGATTGATTTGCTGGAATCTGAATCTTATGCTATGGTTCATAGTCTCTGGCTCCTGATCCTGGCCTGAAGGCTATGGTTTGTGGTTCGCGAGTCACGGGTGGTCACTTGTTATAAAATGGCAATATCAAACAATTTTAGATTAGTCTTATATAGTTTGCAAACATTCGTTTTCGGTTACAATTCTCATGGGTCAAATGGGTCATAAATCAATGAAGATTTCTTTTGAACGTAAATAAAGTAAAGAACCAAGACAAGAATGGAATATTTCGCAGAAGATTATTAGATTGGCAACTCTTGGAACATTACTTTGTACATTGATCTTATGTTCAATATTACAAATTGGTTCGGTTCCAACCGCAAATTCTGCAATGCAAGCTTGGGAGAGTTGAGGTAGAGTCAGACAACAGATTGACCTAATTGTTTATTGACTTGTCGAGTTTGTAGAGGACCAGTACTTCTCAATTTCTTCTGCTGTTCTTCCGGGAATCCTCCCAGCAATCAAAGCCCACCTATTCATAATGAAAAAAAAAAACAAAACAAAACTTAGTTTGGGATAAGCAAGCTCTTTGTTTTGTGCTCAGAAAGAAAATTACAATGCTAAAGAAGAAGAAGAAGAAACCAACCTCTCTCCCACTAGATTGTACATTCTTATAATAAGTGCTTCCTCGTCCTCAGAGAATTGAAGCTCAGATTCTTGTCTGCTTTTCTCTGAGATAAACAACTCAAAATCAAGCACAGGAGTTCATGAAAGCCTTTTGTTTTCTCTTTCAAAACGAACTTGCAATAGTTGAGAGAAAATAGCAAAGAGGAAAACATCTGAATAAACATCTGAAAAGCAGAGTCACAAAACCCTATTTGGCAAGCTAGAAACAGATCGAAAGGAAAACAGTTTGAATCAAAACCCTTCGTTAAAGAAAACAGTAGAGAACATAAGTGCCTGTCCCAGACAGTTGAGACAAATAGGTACCTGTGGCTTGAGAGTCCGAGAAAGAGTCATCGGAAGAAGAGTGTTCGGAGTCGGCCATTTGGCATAGAATTCTGGGGAGGAAGTCAATAAGGTGCTGCTACTTTGAGGCAATGGAGCCGCTTAAGATATTTGGAAAGACGGGCTTGAGAGTTGAGACCAATAGTAGATAGATGGTGAATGGTTCTCAAGAAGCAAAGAATGGTAGTTGAATGTAGGCATCTGTAGATGAATAGGAAATCCGAAGAATATTACGAGTCAAATGCATGACAGATAAATCCATATACCATCAGTTTATTTTATCGGATGTCAATTCACCACATTATTTGCATGGTTGTTTGTATATAAATATAAACATACAAAAATCATACCCCAGATTACATATATTAACTACTGGTTCGAAATTAGCCTACCCTTGAATATTAAGTTGTCGGATTTGTATTAACAATTGGATTATCATATTCAGATCACGGTCAGGATTGGATCAGATTCAGAACGAAACAGGATCAAAATTGGATCCATTGACATACTAAGTTGAATGGAAGTTATGACCGGAGAATTATAAAAGTATCTTAACCCGAATCCCTGACGTACGGAGAGAAGCGTGACAAGAAATAACCAACAAGGAACATGAGGGGGAGGGTCTTTGAAGTTAAACCAACGAAAGAGAGCCTTTCATTCTGGTCTGGTTTCCAGAAAACGTGTGGTTTCTGTTTGAAGCTTAGCTGGGCGTGTCATTGTCCGACAACCAACAAGGAACAGGATGCAACGGAGAGTAAAACGCATGACATTGACAATGTAATAGCTTGGTCCCATTACATTACTAGAATTCAGATTAGAAGAGAGTGATAAGTACTTTTGATTGATCATGGAACAAAATGCAGAGATAAAAACGAAAAGACGCTTTATCTTGGATACAAAGATGCAGCAGATAGCCAAAGCAGTGTGTTCACAATCCAAGCTGATACCAAGCAATCAATGTGTTGTGGAAAACTACAACGACATATTTATCTTCAAGTAATCAATGAGTTGAAGAGCAAAACCAAACCACACAATTCGTCCAAATCGGATATAGATATTAGACGTAGACGAGACGAGAGGTCCCATGCGTAGAGACTCGAGAGCCCACCCATTTTGTTTTCTGAGCTGGCTAAGAATCATTTGGATCTAGACTCAAGATCCGATATGTATATCTGTCACTGTCATCCTGCTTCTATCGACTGTTATCTTATATCAATGACAAGCAAGAAAGGACTTTTTGATCTCACATATTATGAGGTGATATTGCAAACTAGTATCAGTATAATATGAGAACCAAACCTTTGAAATTTGAAGTCCCCAAGTGGCTTATTGCGTAAAACTATTTCATCTATTGGATTGGACTTTTTCAAAAGATAACGGAAGGTAAGCTACCAAATAATCATCTCAACAAGAAAACTACCATCAACACAAGAGGAAGAGTGTATTGGCAGCCTAATCATAGCTACTTTTAGTTATCCTGCAGCCTAATATTTCAATCTTCTGTTCCCTTCGCCATTCCTGTTGCCTTGGGTGTGGATAGATAACCACTTCAAAGCAGAAAGCAATCTAAGCCATTTTCAAGGCAACGCTACACATCGGTTTCGGTGGAGAAGAAAGAAAGGCCAGGGGCATTGCAGAGATGAGGAAACATTTTATCCAAAAATATTAGATGGATCATTAGCAACATCATCATTCGGATCAAATTCGTCAAAAACGCGACATTTCTGAAACAAATAATTCCAATAGTATGCATACAAACAAATAATTCAACCGCTGCAAACGATAACCAGGACACATTATGCTGCCCAAATAGCTTTACCATCCGCAAATAGATCATGCAAACAACAGATTTAACTCGAACAAACAACAAGCACAGACCAAATTATTACCCAAGAACAAATTTATTTATTAAACATAGAGTATCAGGAAACCAAACTAGTTGAAATGCCTCACCAAGAGGCAGAAACAGTACCACGAAACTTGAAAAAACAAAAACAATTAAACATAGTTTTATAGGAACCACCGAAACATTCATAACAAGCAGGGTGACAACCGAGACTTCCACTTCTTAGAAACCACCACGGAGACGGAGGACAAGGTGAAGGGTAGACTCCTTCTGAATGTTATAGTCAGCCAGAGTCCTTCCATCCTCCAACTGCTTACCGGCAAAGATCAACCTCTGCTGGTCTGGAGGAATACCTTCCTTGTCCTGGATCTTGGCCTTCACGTTGTCGATTGTGTCCGAGCTCTCCACCTCCAAAGTGATGGTCTTTCCAGTCAAGGTCTTCACAAAGATCTGCATACCACCCCTCAGACGCAGCACAAGGTGAAGGGTAGACTCCTTCTGAATATTGTAGTCAGCCAAAGTACGGCCGTCCTCCAGCTGCTTCCCTGCAAAGATCAACCTCTGCTGGTCTGGTGGGATCCCCTCCTTGTCCTGGATCTTCGCCTTCACATTGTCGATGGTGTCCGAGCTCTCGACCTCCAAAGTGATAGTCTTTCCGGTCAGGGTCTTCACGAAGATCTGCATACCACCACGGAGACGAAGCACCAAATGGAGAGTGGACTCCTTCTGGATGTTGTAGTCAGCGAGGGTACGGCCATCCTCCAGCTGCTTCCCTGCAAAGATCAACCTTTGCTGGTCCGGTGGGATACCCTCCTTGTCCTGGATCTTCGCCTTGACATTGTCAATGGTGTCCGAGCTCTCGACCTCCAGAGTGATGGTCTTTCCTGTCAGGGTCTTCACAAAAATCTGCATACCACCACGGAGACGAAGCACTAAATGGAGAGTGGACTCCTTCTGGATGTTGTAGTCAGCAAGGGTACGGCCATCCTCGAGCTGCTTTCCGGCAAAGATCAGCCTCTGCTGGTCTGGTGGGATGCCCTCCTTATCTTGAATCTTAGCCTTGACGTTGTCAATGGTGTCGGAGCTTTCGACCTCCAGGGTGATGGTCTTGCCGGTGAGGGTCTTGACGAAGATCTGCATGCCACCACGCAGACGAAGCACTAAGTGGAGGGTTGACTCCTTCTGGATGTTGTAGTCTGCGAGGGTACGGCCATCCTCCAGCTGCTTGCCGGCGAAGATCAGCCTCTGCTGGTCTGGGGGGATACCTTCCTTGTCTTGAATTTTGGCCTTGACGTTGTCAATGGTGTCGGAGCTTTCGACCTCGAGGGTGATGGTCTTACCGGTGAGGGTCTTGACGAAGATCTGCATACCACCACGCAGACGGAGCACCAAATGGAGGGTTGACTCCTTCTGGATGTTGTAGTCTGCGAGGGTACGGCCGTCCTCTAGCTGCTTTCCGGCGAAGATGAGACGCTGCTGATCTGGAGGGATGCCCTCCTTGTCCTGGATCTTAGCCTTGACGTTGTCGATGGTGTCAGATGACTCCACCTCAAGGGTGATGGTCTTGCCGGTAAGGGTTTTCACGAAGATTTGCATCTACAGGAACCAAAATCACATAAGCATTGGTTTCACAGTTTCAAGATCAAAAGTTCTAATTTCGGTAAACAACTTGCAAATCCGCAAACAGATAAAGAAAAAAAAGCCCTAATTTGGAAATGAATAAATCATAAATTAAAGCAATTGAATAAAACACATATCAATGGCACAATTTTTATTCCAAAATCAAAAGACTACCAGGAAAAAAGTAGAAAATACAACAACATAAATAAAATTGACATATGGGTTTCAAGTTCGATATATCAAAAATCTTAAAAATCAATTTGGATACAGAAAAGATCCCTAATTCGCTAAATCAATAGATCTAATCGCAAGGACTTCAAGATCCGTGAGATAGGATACAGAAAAACCCCTAATTTGTGAAACAGAAACATAGATCGTAGATTCAAGGCAAAATTATCATACCAAATTCCGATTTCCATTCCCAAATAGTCAAAAACTATAACTAAACATGCAAAACTATCAAAGGTATAAGGATCCAATCGACCGATCATAAATCTCAAAGATCAAACAAATTAAACACAAACTAAGCATTTAGATCTAAAATTTTAAAACAAATTAAACAGGAAGGGAGAGAAAGACAATACCTCGACAGGCTGAAAAAGAGGCTTCGAGAGAATTGAAGGGAATTTCTTTGAATGTGGAGAAACAAAACAATTTCAATTGTGAAGTAAAGAAGAGGCGGAGGCCTTTCTTTATAGCAAAAGAGAAGGAGACTTCGTCACGGAAACGGACTAGGGGTGACAAGGAGGTCCACTGATTTCGCGACACGTGTAAGAAAAGATGTGCCGCTGGCGCGGTTTAGACGGCAAAGTTTGGTATCTAGTCTCGTTTGGTGAGCTAATTTCGAGGTCGATGATGACCTCAAATGACTCTATCATTGGCTTGTATTGGTGCGTCACGGGACCCTCACGGCGTTATCTTCCACATTAATTATTATTACTTTTTTAGCCCTATGTTTTCCCGATTATTACGACGACTAATCCGCAATCATTCGGTAGGAGTATTTGTTTTTCTGTTTGCTTTCTCGTCACGTAATTTTTCTTTTTCATTATCTCACCAATTCAATTTTAAAATTTAGAAAATTCATCTTTGAATTATACAATTAATATGTGCTACGGCCGGTTACCAAAAAACAAATGGCGGCAAGAACATTCATTGTATAGAAACACTAAACATGATTATCAAAGTTATATTTTATTTGCTTCATTAATTAAGAAAATATTAAACAACATTACCCATTTTAAAGCCAAGCCAAAAGAAATATATTTTTATATTTCAAGTGGGGTGGGTGGCTCTTCGTTCTATGAAAGTGGGGAAATTATTGTCTTTTATTTATTTATTATGGCTTATTTACTATTTCATTTCCTAGAACTCGTGCTTGCTTTTACTTAAGGGTGGTGCTAAAGGCATCAATTTTGGGCACTAATTCTCCAATAGAGGTGGAGCCCGCCAATACAATGGATCCCACGCTCTATTAAAGAGTTGGTGGCCAAAGTTGGTGCCTCTAGCATTTTCCCTTACTTAAATATCTGGAACTAAAGTTTCCTCACTATACCTCCTAATCTCTAAAAATTGCTAAAAAAATTCTTACTTTATTACTTCCGTCCATTTTCGTCCACAAAACTATTAATGGCTCGTTTGTGAGTGATTCTGGATAGACTAAAA